CATAGCAGATCTACACACAATAGTCAATGGTAGAACCACAAATGTCTACCAAGTCATGAATGGATAAACAAAATGTGGTATTTCTATACAATGGAGTTTCTGACACAAAAAGGCATGAAGTACTGCTGAACCATGAAAACAGACATGAAAGGACACATATTCAGTGATTCCATTTATAAGAAATATCCAAAACAGACAAATGCATGGAGAAAGAAAGCAAATTAAATGGTTGCCAAAGACTGAAGAAACGGGAAATAGCCAGCGACTGCTTAAAGAGTAACCCATTTCTTTTGGGATAAAGAAAACTTCCTAGAACTAGGCAGTGGCAATGGTTCCCTAATACTAAATATACTGCATGTCACTGAGTTTGTATGGTTTAGGTGGTTAAAACATTGAGTTTTACATTATGTGTATTTTGCCACAATTTTTTTTAAAAAAGGAATTAAATGCTAATACATACTACAAGATGAACCTCAAAAACATTACCCCAAATTAAATAAGCCAGTCACAAAAGAGCACATATTGTATTAATTTCTGTGAAATATCCACAATAGTCAAAACTAGACACAGCTTGCCTAGTGGTTGCCTAGGGTTGGGGGAAGAGGGAAATGGGGAGGGACATTGAAGAGATGACTTTCAACAGATACCAGGTATCTTTATGGGGTGACAAAATGCTTTAAAATTAGATTAAAAATAGAAAACTCTGTAAACATTAAAAACCACTGAATTGTACTCTTCAAGTGGGTGGATTTTAGAATGCATAAATTCTATCTCAATAAAGTTGGGGTCTTTTCTTAGTTGTACTGAGATTTGAACCCAGGGCCTCACGCTTGCTAGGCAGGCACTCTCGCTTGAGCCATTCCACCAACCCTGTTTTGTGTAGGGTATTTTCAAGATAGGGTCTTGGGAACTGTTTGCCCGAGTTGGCTTTGAACCGAACCATGTCCTCATTTCAGCTACTCAGGAGACTGAGGCAGGAGGACTGCTTCAGTCCAGGAGTCAGGGACAGTGTAGGTAACATAGTGAGACCCCATCTCTTTAAAAAAAAAAAACTGAGCCAGGGGTAATGGCACATAACTGTAATTCCAGCACTTGGGAGACTGAGGCAGAAGGATCATCATGAGTTTGAGGCCAGGCTGTGCAATGACTCTGTCTCAAAAACAAAACAAGACAAGGAATATTGTAAACATTCTTGTGATAACAAATTCAGTAACTTAGATAGAAATTCTTTTTTTTCTGGAGACAGGGGTCTCACTATGTAGTTCAGGCTGGCTTCAAACTCAAGATCCTCCTCTGTGCTGGGATTACTCCATGCCAGGCTTTGAAATGAACAAATTCTTGAATAAAAGACACAACCAAAATTGCCACAAGAAAGGGAAAACCAAGGACTGGATATGTGGCTCAAGTGGTAGAGTGCCTGCTTTGCAAGCATTAAGCCCTGTGTTCAAACCCCAGTCCCATTTTAAAAAAGACATGCTGGAGGTATGACTCAAGTAGTACAGGAAGGGTAAGAGCCCTGGCCACTGGCCTAACAAGTGTGAAGCCCTGAGTTCCAACCCCAGTAAGCCCCCCCGCCCCGTAAAAAAAAAAGATGGGGAAAGGAAGACCAAACATCCCCTACAACATAAGGGTTCCCAGCAACCACTAGACAGAAAGACAAAGGAGTCTTCCTTAGAGCCTTCAAGAGAGCAAGGAAGGCCCTGCTACCAGACTGTGAGAGAACAAATTTCTGTTGTTTGAAACCACCTAGTTTGTGGTAATTTGTAACAGCAGTCCTAGAAAACTACTGCACATGTTAAATAACATATTGCATGATATTGCATATAGTAGAATAAAAAATATATTAAATGCAGTTGCATTTGTTACCTTTTTTTAGTATGGGACAACTAAAAGTTTTAAATTGCATATGTGGGCTGGGCTCAGTGGCACAATGAATGTTCAGTATGCATGAGGACCTGAGTTCAATCCTCAGCACAAGTAAAGAAGAAGGGGGAAAGGAAGAAAAAAGCCAGCCAGGCTTCTGGTGGGTCACACCTGTAATCCTAGCTACTTGGGAGGCTGAGATCAAAAGGAACAAGATTTAAGGTCAGCCTCAACAAAAAGTTTTCAAGACACCATCTCCAAAATAATCAGAGCAAAATGGACTAGAGGTATGGCTTAAATAGTAGAGCACCTGTTTTGCAAGTATGAATCCCTGAATTCAAACTCCAGTCCCACAAAAATAAATAACTATAAAATAACAGTAATATGCAATACCAGGAAAAACATGTCAAGTTTAAAAAGACAGGTACATGAGTATTAATCACAGAATTATATGCAAGTATAGAAAGGACTGCTATATTATCCTAACTTCATTATACAAGTGTAACAGGATTAGAGCACAAAAAAAAAATGTAAATGTAAGATAGGTGGGAATGACCTAAAATTTTTCTTTTGAATTTCCTTTGTCTTTTTCTAATTAAAAAAAGTTGATAACCATCACCGGTGGCTCACACATGTAATCCTAGGTATTCAGCAGCAAAGATCAGGAGGATCAAAGTTCAAAGCGAGCATATAAATTTCAAAATTTATCTAATTTTTTAATTCCTCACAATCTAAAAGACCTACTGCTTTATTCCATGTGAAATTTTTTTTCCCCAAATTTTAACTCTTACAGGAATTCCCTGTTCTAACAAGGCACCCCAGTATTCTCTGTAAAACTAACAATCTGAAAGAAAAGGAACAATTTGTGGCAGCAGCTTAGAAAAGATAACATTTTAATTCATGTATTATGAAAGCTTACTTGTCTTTACCAAGTTTCAGGAAGCATATATATTGAAAATTCAAATTATGACAGAAATTGTTTTATAAACCAGAAAAATCAAAGAAGACAAACTGCCACTGACTCAGCAGGTTTCTTTTTCACTTTACAACCTGTACTTAAGATGCAGGCAAAAGACGGAAACCTAACTTTCAAACTGAGCAGCAAAGCCAATGCAAAACCAGTATTTGTCTTGGCAGGAAACTCCAATGAAAATATGAGGTGTTTGGTCTTAACTGGCAGATGTATAAAGAGCAAAGGTGCCTTGTTATTATTTATCATCTGAAATCTCTTGTGCATAGTTACAAATTAGCTTTTATTATAGATACATAACATGCTTCTTTATAAAGAGGGCCCACCCAAATAACCTTGAATCTGGCACCCAAATAACCCAAATCTGGCACCATGAATTGTTACAGGCTATAAACCACTGCAGTTCCTTGTAATTTTAAACATTTACTTTTAAGAATAGTCTCCACACACCAACTCTGCTGCCAATTTTTTCAAATAAAAGCTCAAGTTTAAACTACAAAATACTGTATTTACTCTCAATAACAGAATGCATTCATTTACAAATTACACGAGTAAATTACTCCAAAACACACAAGTTCAACATCTCTGACATCATAGCTTTTTTATTAACCAAATAAACCAGTCTAAACAGTTGTACATTAGAAAAAGAACTATTGGTCAAATGAACTGACATACAATGGGATTAGTAAAACCAGAAATACCAAACATTGGATGCCTAATCTCAATCAACTATTTTGCAAAATGGTAAAGAGGGACACCAATCCGGGAAAGTGTGAAATGAGTGGCAGAAAACCCTTTGCCATTACTTAAAAAAAAAAAAAAAAAAGGCAACTGCAAGCCTATAATGAGAGGCAAGTCATGTTCATGAATACAAACATCAGTTTACTTCTGAGTTCTCAGTCTGACACCAAGAAGGAAGTTTACTACCTCTTAACAGTAGAACAACAGCAAATACAAGGATTTTTTTTTTCACGATTATAGTGATTAAGAACAGGCATCCTTTAATCCAAAGAGATGAAGTTTTCCTTTTACAACTAATTTGTCCTCTTTTCCACGTGCACAGAAAAATAACACACACAAAAAAAGAGTTTTGCATTTGAGGTAGCTTCATATACACCATGACCTCAGATCAAACATTTACTGAGAACTTAGCACCTTAGAGTCTAAACCACCTCCTCCACCTTACAATCCCGGTCACCCTGGACGCAGGAAGGCCGATTCCAACTGTGAATCAGGGTCTGGGAAGAACTTCCTAACATGTTTTGCACAGAGCAGGCTCGGTGGGTCAATTTCTCAGGGTACAACGCTCAATAGATTCTCTGAAACACAAGCACACAGGCAGCCTAGGGTCCAATGCTGCAGATGACACTTTGGCTCATATTTGCTCAAGTAACTACAGTAACTGCCCCAAATTTTCCGTGTGAAACCCACACAGGGTGGGGAGGATGGGGGAGAACCAATGAAAAACTGGGTCATTCCGTATTTGCTCTGATGAAGCACGGTCCTTCGGAAAGAAAAAGGCCCGTGAAGGAGAAAAAAGGAGGAAAAGAAGACAGCACCGCATCCTCTCTGCAGAAGAGGTACGGCTCTACTAGGATCCGCACTAGGGACTAACCAGTTGGCTTTAGCTGTGTTTAGCCGCTCGGGAGTTCCATGGAACCTGCCCCCCTATAAGTCATCCCAACAAAGAAGGCCTGAGGACCAGCCACCGTCAGGCAGAGGAGGAAATGCCCTCAATTCACCTGCGACACCTGTCTGGGCTCTCGTTCTCGCTCCCGCCCTCCACCCCTGGCCCATCCGCGATCGCTCGAGACGCGACCACCGCCTCCTCTGCCGTGGCCCTGGGAACCCCAGGCCCACCTGGCCCCCACCCAGGCGACAGTGGCCCAGGCGGAGGTCCCTCGGGCCCAGGGCCCTCGCGCTCGCACGCAGGCGCCGCTCCAAAGCCCGGGCGGCGGAACGGGGAGGCCCCGTGCCTGCAGCCGCGCGTCCCCGGCGCATCCCGCGGACTCCAGGGACTCCCCGCCCCCGGCACTGCGGAGCAACCAGGCCAGCGCCGGCCCCTCTACGCCTCCCCGGCGACCCCCGCGGGCCGGCCCCTCGGAGCGCAGCCCTACCTGCACCAGAGCCGCCCGCCGGGGCGGAAGGCCCTGCGCCGCGCGCTCACCTAGCGCCGCCGCCGCTCCGGGTCAGCCGCGCCGACGCAGCTGCGTCCTGGGGCATGAAAGCGCCGGCTGCGCGGCCTGGGTGGCTTCGGCACGGCCCGGCAGGGCCGGACAGGGCAGGGCGGAGCGGGGCGGGGGACTGGCTCCTGCGGCCGCCGTCGCCGCCACCACCACGGTCGCTCTGCGCCTGCGCGCGGGCGGGATCCCCAGGGGCGCAAGGGGCAAGGGCCCGGGGCGCGAAGTCGCACCCGCCTTGCGGTTCCCGGCGGTCGGCACTGCAGGGGACGGTGACCTAGGAGCTCTCTGTGGCGCGGCCGTCCCAACAGCGGCCCGCCATGTTTCAGTTCCCTTTTCTTTCTTTCTGGTCCCCTCCTTCCGCCCCTTTCCACAGAACAGCACTTTCCCTCCCTCCTACCGCTCCCACTGCGGGGGCGGGTGGAAAGGGGCGTGGGGGAGGGGTGAAGAGGGAGGAACAGTACTCTGGTCACGCCCCTGGCCCCGCCCCCGGGGCGGGCCGAGGCCCCGCGGCCCTTGCTCCCCGCCCCCACCCCTCTTCCACCGCAGCGCTGGGACCCGGGTGAGGCCTGAGTCGGAGCCTGGCCCGCCAGCCAGCAGGTTCCCCAAGTGAAGCTGGCCCAGAACCCGGGACAAAGCCAGTGCCCAGGGCACTGCTCTGCACCCTCCCTGTAGGGCTCGGACTCGACCTGCAATGTGCGTTACTGCAGGTGGCGGCCGCTCCTCTGGGTTTTCAAAGACAGAGAAAGTGACGTTGTGGTGGCTCAAGGTCACTGAGAAAAGTACGGAAAGGGATGTGAACTTTCCCAGGGTGAGAGCTGGAATTGCCACCCACGGCTTTGGGGACTCTGAGGCCCCGCTGCGCTCGCTTTTGCTGCTTGTGCTGAGATTTCAGGATGGGAACTCCAAATGTGGAAATGGCTCGTTTAAATACTTGGTACCCTCCTTCCGCCCCACCCCCCAAGTATAGCCTTCTTATCTACACATACACGTTCAGAGTCGTTTCCCCGAAATGCAAATTTGGTAACATTTTTGGCGAGTTTTTAGGTATCATAATTATTCAAAAAGCAAATGGCTGGAGATAAAGTAGAACTTTTTTGCCTCCTGGCCAAAAACAAATGGTAGTGACTTCACAGATTCCACAGCAGGTCAAAATTAGAAGTGGGGTGTGTGTGTGTGTGTGTGTGTGTCAAAATTAGAAGTGGGGTGTGTGTGTGTGTGTGTGTGTGTGTGTGTCACGTACATAATGATCATTTTCCTAAGAATTACTATCTCCTTACTCAGTCTGAATTTTTGTAAAAAGTGAGAAATCAGATCTGGCTCATAAGTGCCCTGTTGTCAGTTTATTCCTGAAGTTTATTGCATCTGTGAAAAATTTGAGCTTGGTAGTAACAGATACGATTTTCCTAACCACATTAGCAGTCAGAATTGATCCGGAAGAAATTCACAGCAGTAGAAATATGACTTGTTTGACAATAGTTTGGGGCCGTGTGCCTGTGGCTCACGCCTGCAGTCCTGGCTACTTAGGAGGCAGAGATCGGGAGGATCACAGCTCCGAGTCAGTCCTGGCAAATAATCCCCGAGACCCTATCTCGTAAACCCACATACAAAAAAATAGGACAGGTAGAGTGGCTCAAGGTGAAGACCCTGAGTTCAAGCCCCAGTACCGCAAAACAAACAATAGTTTGGAATTAGTGTGGATCCCTGAAAAACATCTTTGACATTGACAATCCAGGCAGCAGAAGTTTAAAAAATGATCTAACATTTCAAAGTTATCTTGTGGACTTCTTGTCCTTCCTCCCCAAAGTGCGAATTAAGTAATAGTTTAAAAATATTTAATTGAGGCTAGGAGTGTAACTCAGTGATAGAGTGCTTATCTAGCATGGATGAGGCCCTGGGTTTCATAACCAGTTCTGCAAAAGAAAAAACAAATTTTGTTTTTGAGATAGTGTCTTGCAATGTAGCCCAGGCTGACCTTGAACTCCCAACAATTCTTGAGGTTTCCTCACCCTACAGAGTGCTGGGATTATAGATGTGTTCATTCCCTAGGGGAGGAAAAAAGTATTAATGGGTGCATTTTATTAACCCTCAAGAATTGAGAGGTTTTCTTTCTTCCTGTACCTTTTTTAGGGAGGAGGGAGTGCCCTGACAAATGGAAAATGGAAGAAGCCAGAATCTATGTAACTTGATCAGTGTTGCTTGTCTGGAAATGTAGGATTTGAGAAATTCTATAATTTTTCTTACTATTTATAGTCCTGTACTTTTACCACAGATTTTCATTACCATTTTCTATCCAGTTTCATGGCATGAACCTGTGTGTTGTACATCTAATTTTTCATCTTTGGTAGCTGTTCTTCAGAACTGGAAGTTCTTGATTCAGGTACCAACTCAACTGCACTCATAGATGCCCAGGGCTTAACTAAGTTTACTTTGATTTTAATATGTGTTTGTCTAAAAAGCTGAAAAGGAACTGGAAAGTCCAATCATAACTACAATGTAGTTGTGATCATTATGCCATCACAGTTTCAGTTAAGTCTGTATAGATACAAGAATGCATAGGAATAGGTAGTAGGGATGTAGCTCAGTGGTAGAGCTCTTGCTTAGCCCTGGGATTGATCCCCAGCCCTAAAAAAAAAGTTTGTATGGAATCTGTGTACCCCATTGAAGAGAGAATATAAACATTCTAGCATTCTAGCAGAAGGCCCTTGCTGCTTCCTGAATCAATGGTCACTGCAGATTTCTGTGGATTTGCAATGCAAAACAGCTACATGGAAATATTGAAAATCATCTAAAATAAGTAAGCTATTTTTGGTAGCTGTAACTCATGCAGAATACCACATCATTTTCATTATTGTATTCTCTTGAGAAATTGCTAAGCAAGGTCACAAATGTTACATATATATGTTCATAGTCATGTTCTTTTCCAGGTACCCCAGATCTAGCATATATAGTAGTCTCTCAAAAAGATAATTGAGGAATAAAGATGTGGTTCAAGTGGTAGAATACCTGCCTTGCAAGCACAAAGTCCTGAGTTCAAACCCCAGTCAAACCCACCAAAAAGAAAAAAGAGAGAAAAAGCAAAATGGCAAAATGGACTGGAGATGCAACTTAGGTGCTAGAGTGCCAGCTTTGCAAGGGCAAAGCCCTGAGTTCAAACCCCAATACCACCAAAATAAATAAATAAATAAATGATGGAGGTATAGCTCAGTGGTAAAGAGCACTTACCTAGGGTATTTGAGGTTCTGGATTTGCTTCCCAGTACTCAAAAATAAATAAGTAAATAAATAAATTGGTGTACGATTGCTGTCAATCAATCTATGCTTCCCTCACTTTCTTCTTCTCCATCCGTAGACAAGGTACTTTTCCTAATCTGGCTGGGCACCAGTGGCGCTCAGCTATTTGAGAGGCAGAGATCAGGAGGATTGAGGTTCAGAGCCAGCCCAGGGCAAATAGTTAACAGAACAAAATACCCAACACAAACAACAACTGGTGGAGTGGCTCAAGTGGTAGATCATCTGTCTAGCAAGCATGAGGGTTGAGTTCAAACCTCAGTATCACCAAAGGCAAAAAAAAAAAAAAAAAACTTTTCCTCATCTATAAAGTGGGTAGAATGGTATTAATAAATAAGTAAAATCAGGTGGGCCTTGATGAGTCATGCCTGTAATCCTAGCTACTCAGGAGGATCACAGTTTGAAGCCAGCCCAGGCAAATAGCTCATGAGACCCTATCTCAAAAAAACTCTTTACAAAAAAGGGCTGGCAGGGTGACTCAAGATGTATGCCCTGAGTTCAAACCCCAGTACTGAAAAAAAAAAGAAGTAAAATCATCACACACAAAAAAAGAAAACTTATTTGCAGGACTGAAGGTGTGATTCAAACAGTACAGCACTTACTTCATAAGTACAAAACCCTGAATTCAAATCCTAGTCCCATAAAAAAGAAAAAACTGTTGTTTGCAATAAACTATTAAGAATTAAGTAGACAGTTCAGTGGCAATACTTAGCATGTAGTAGGCAAGCTGTAATGCTTACAATAATTCCTGCTTTTTACCAAGCATGGTGGCTCACACTTATAATCCTAGCTACTTGGGAAGTAGAGATCAGGAGGATCACAGTTCAAAGCCAGCTCTGGCAAATAGTTTTCAAGACCCTATATCGAGAAATCCCATCACAAAAACAGGACTGGTGAAGTGGTTCAAGATGTAAGCCCTGAGTTCAAGATCCAGTGCAAAAAAAAAAAAAAAAAAAGAACAAACACAAAACAGGACTGGTGAAGTGGCTCAACCAGTAGAGTGCCTGCCTACCAAGTGTGAAGCCCTGAGTTCAAATCCCACTACTGCCAAAAATAATAATCTCTGCTCCCTGGTATTTATGGCTTTGGGTAGTTCTCTTCTTTTGAATGCAGGATGGATTTATTGACTGGCTTCTAACACAGAGAATATTTCAAAAGTGATGAGATGTCACTAACAGGTTACAAAGACTTCAGTCTTGGGTTGTCCCTCTCATCCTCTTGGATTGATCTCTTGCTCTTGGAAAAACCAGCTACCGTCAGTCCTGTGAATGTGGTTAGTTCTGTGTCCTTTCAAATTGAAACTTGAGATGACTGCAGCCCAGCCTCCATGTTGATTGCAGCTCTCCAACAGGCCCTCAATGCAGCCCCAAACTAAGCCATTCCAGGAGTCTTTACTCACAGAAACCACAAGATAAATGTTTCTTCTTTCAAGCTGCAAAAATTTGAGGGTGATTTGTTGCACAGCAATAGATGACTAACATCACACAGTTGTGCCTAGAAGGTAGGAAGTACTCAGTAATGGTAGCTTTTCCTTTGGTGACTATAGCTGGGTTCTTTCAGCACATGGCTTAGCATTCTATACGGCTGATCCAAGCTTGCTTTAATACTTTAATGATAGTGTTTATAACTGCAGTACAAGAAGGTATCCAGGAAAAGTGGAAAGACTGATTTTATCTGATTATTTATAGACTACCTTTGATCCAGGAGAATTTGTTAGATTGTATTTCATGTAACATTTTGGATTCCCTTCAAAACGATGCAGCAGAGGTAAAAGGGTGGGGAAAGTAATTTTGTGGTTACTGCTGCTGTT